AAAACATGAAAAAAGGCGGAAAAAATTAAAGGGGCCCTCCGGAGCTTTCTGCGATCGTCTGTTTATGTTGTTATATTGCATAGTAGGTGCAAGTTAATATGTATACAAAGTTTTAGATTACAAAACCGTTTATTAAGCAGATGGCAGAAAAAATATATCGGGACTATTTTCTCTTGGAAGACAATCCCCCCCATTCCCTGCCCATCGCTAAAACTTGACCAATAGAAATGCTGCATCTCGCGGTGAATGCAAACGTTATTATTGCAACACTTTTTAAGCTTGTTGCAAATTAGAGTTTGAGAAAAACGTAAACTGATTGTGGTGCGGGAAACATAGTCCGCAATTATCGCTCCAATACCAGCGAACTATGTTTTCTCCCCGCAAGCTTGTTGCTAGTGGGCGATGCGGCGGCCCGTCGGCTCGTCTGCTTCCCGGGGCGTCTGCAGGCGTGCGTTTGCGGGACACATGTTCCTCCTTCCCGTGGATCCTGACTCCGAAGCCAGCTTTGCGATCCTTCCACGTCAACGAGTCAAACTTTTCCTTGTCATCTGTGGAATGCGACTGCGTATTGCAGTAGCAGCGCGACGGTGCGGTGCGACGAACGACGACTGCCGAGCACGAAGTCCGGGTTCCTTGACGACGGTCCGCGCGTGTTCGAGAGATTCCTCCGCGGGTCGGCGGTCGGCCGCGTTGGTGACGCGCAGTGACGCCGGAATCCTTCGCTTGCTATTGGCTGACGCGTAAAGAGATGCCCCTCCCTTTTTCCGGGCTCATCTCAGAAAGGGGGGCGTGCCGTGGACTTTGATAGCAATTTTAGTAGGGAAATCCGCCGCGCATGAGCGTAATTTTACGATTTTTAGGATCCTTAGGGCCTGTAGATTGAGTTACCGCCATAAATAGATCATTGCATAACGATCCGGAGGGCCCCTTTAACTAATGTCAAACCTGAATATTTGATGGAGTTCAAAGACTACCACCGTACCAACGCGCCCGGTTATTCTTTCTGTCAAAGAATAATAGCCAATAGTAATAAACAAATAAATGCCAACTATTAATTGGTTACAAAGACGTAATTGGTGCAGTGCAGCCCTACCCTACTCTACTCTTTTGGTGATATCAGGTAATGTGTAAAGGTATAGGGCAGTTCATAGCAACCGTTTATGCCCGACCCATTATATTGAGATTTTTCTTTATATAAAAGTTATATGAAAAAAGTGCTATTCCTAAATTAAGCCGCAGCACTGAATGTACAATATCGTGTAACGTTTATGTATGTTCTCAGCAAAGGAAAAGGATGCATTAAAAAAAGGCCAATCATTTTGTTTCCTCTCTGTTGGAGCTTCTTTCACGTACACGCAAAATGTGGGTGTCTACGTCTAAAAGAGTGGAATTGACATTTCCTGCAGGGCTGGAAGGCCTGACTCAGTTTGGCTAGCAGCTTGAAACCTATGGGAACCTGGGGAACTGAACCACAAGAGTGAGAGTGACACCCGCCTTGCACTTCCTGAACGATGGCACCATGAGGAAGGGGGAGCTGCCCTAAAGTGAATGCAATAGCACATGGGTCGTTCCAGCGAACCCCTATACAGATGATACCAAGCAGAAAATTATTAATAAATGTGTTATTAAAAACATGGAATGTGAATGGCACGGACAAGAAGGAGGAGATCAACACAGCGCTGTGTTGTGTTCATATCCTCTGTTCCCATATTCTTCATGATTTCTTTTCAATAATTGGCTACTAACTAGTCTAATCATCAGCACTAGTCAATAGAAGTATGCTGCTATTTATTAGTATGCATTAACACGGTGCTTGAATCCTACAGTCATCCTACAGTTGAATCCTACAGTCATTTATTAATAAACAAAAACGAGGGTGCAAGCTAGCCAAACAGGCAAAAATAATTTATTAAAGACGGGTTCTCTGAAGGATGACACAAACGCAGAGAAGTATCAAACACAGATGAGTATCAATGGGCAAAACATGAATAGGCGACTCAAAAAAGAAAACGTAGGGGAAGACATGAAGTCATGTCTTTACAATTTCTCTTCTGCTTGCCACCACTTTACAAAGGGAATTCCTTCCTGTGCCTTACAGCGTTTTACTGTTCACAACCCCTGACATACCCAAGGACAGTAAACATAAAAAAGCAACCTACTAACATTTGGGTAAATGTGATTGAACAAACAACAAGGAATGCCTTCAGCTTTCAGCCTAGGAAATAAAAAATATGCACAACATCAAGATTTAAAAAGAGGGACGCATCACACCTGTTTCTAACAAAAATATAGGCCAAGAAACTTCTTCCACTCAATGGCAAAACACAGGGAAGGCACTAATAGATTTCTAGGTTTCATCATTGTTAGTGATTCTTTCAGTATACCCTTGTGGTCACTCTCTTTAGTCAAAATTATTTCATCATCATCATTCATTAAATCATCATCACAGTTGTGTTCTTTAAAGGGGTACGGAAACAAAAATTGAAATATTCAAATTTCGTTCGGAAGTGAATCAAGTATGAGGGATAATAACCGTAAATGATAATCGCACGTTTGTATTTTGAACGACTGGTTATATTTTTCGTTCCAAACGGTGCACTCGAGCAAGCGCTCGAAGAAAAGCGAACGGAGAGCGCGATGCGTCATGGGATATCCGGCGCAAACAAAACCAGAAAGAAAAGATTCCCCGCGTTCGTGGAGTAGCAAGGCAGGCGTGGTTATCAGCTTTGCCCTTGGTGGCGCTGGCAGCGTTGTGGTGGTGTCAATAGCGTCAGCGCGTTACAACCGAGCCGTTCAAAGTACCCGTGGCCTGACGAGCGTGTGGCTGGACCACGTGGGCTGGCCCAAAGAGCACGTAGCTTCCACAACACTGTCAGCTTAGGGCTGAACGGGGTGGGGAAAGCAACTTTTGTTCGAGTTTTGAGCGACGGGCTAATCTTCTACACAGTAAACTTTTTTACACCCTTAAGGGTGTTTGTGAGTGTCTATAACTCACACCCCTACACCTTCAGAAAAAGGTGCACAGTAAACTTTTTACACCCTTAAGGGTTATTTTGAGTGTCTATAACTCACACCCCTACACCCTCCCAAAAAGGTGTGTTGGACTCTCGAGCACCTTTTTGATGGGTTTTATTGTCACCATTACACCCTTGCACCCCCAGAAACGTGAGTAAGGGTGTAAGGGAGTAACATGCACATCACAGGCACCACACATGCATGCACTGAGAAAAAAAGTCAGATTAACTTGGCTGTATACAGCCAAGTTAGTCTGGCTTTTTTCTCAGTGCATGTGCGCTGTTCATGATGTGCATGGGCTGTATACAGCCAAGTTAATCTGACTACATGTTCATACTTTTAGATACATTCCATAACATCCAATGTCTGGCCGTATGATGTTTATGTTACTTGTAATGTTTACAGTGTCACAATTAAAACATGTTTGTGCTGCTGAAAACCTTCGAAAGCACTTCATGTATTCTTGCTTAACTAAGTGGTTGCCTCATGCATGCATCCACTAAGGAATAAAGACAAAAAAAGTGTATATGAAAGTTGAATACTCTTTTAATTTGAGCGTCTTGCATATACAACCTTTCAGTATGCTAAAACTCCCAGCGTCGAGTGTTTGTAGCTTACCACGCGTAGCTTCCTCGGCGTATACAAGCACGAGCTCATTCAATGTCCATGCTCCCTATAGAGCGTGGTGTTCGCACTCGCGCCAGAGGGACAATTAATTAATAATTAATAGTTAATTAGTTATATGTCATGAAGTACCGCACTAATTAGTAAGTATCGCATATTTTCTGACGTCTGCCACCATGAGTAATGCTGTCCCGAGGAAATTACACTTTTACCTTGATTACACTAATTTTAGGAATTTTTGTCAGTCTTTGCTGAAACACCCGCTATATGTATCGCTCACCCAATCTTTAAAGAAAGATCTGCTCAAATTAAAATGAAACATCCTGAAACAAAGTTAGGCAGTTAACGACGACTTGTTTTTCGCAATAAAGCGTTGGGCGATGCTCCTCGGCCTTGAAATCGGAACCCCTTAAAATAGGTGTTCCCAAACACAAGAAATATTAAACGCTTTTCTGTTGTACCTTAAACATCCACTGGGCTTTCATGATTGCTGTGGTCCCTTCTACTGCATCTATGACGCGCAACAGTCGACTTTTCTCGATGTAGAGGAAGAGCGCTTCGGCCTCTGAAACTCGGGCCCGCAAATACGATGCAAGGGGTAAGTGGCTTCTCTGCCTCCTAAAAAAGAAATGAAACACAGAATTTTAGATATACAGTTCGCAGTCGCATGGTGTAGACCTGTATATCTATTTATAAAGGCAGAATTTTCTAGCTGACTCAAGTTCGTTTGTAATGTGAACACAAGTCGGCCACATAAAGGAGCTTTGACTAGTACTCAATACTTAAATATCGGCTGTTATTTCTGTTGAGATGAGTGAATGCTTTTTGTTTTCTTTCATGGGTATGTCTGTTGAAAAATAATTGCAGTTGTAGTATGATGAAGTATCTATGCTGAAATCCCAATTATGAAAATATATTCGCATTTTAAAATATTATTTTGGCTCACTGTAAAGGACTGTTAGACATCTGATTTCCTGTTAGAAATATTTCATTATAAGCCTGTAGGCTTTTTTTTTTTTTGCTGCAAAAACTTTGTGAGATATTCTTGAGGATGGTAAAAATGGCCTTTGCATGGGGTGCCGCTAGACCTAACAATGTCAAAAAGGATTTTCAGTAGTTACACCACAATCAAGCAAAATTAGAGTCTGTTCATTTTCTTTTTTTTCCTTTTTTTATGTGACCACGGGAAACTGGAAACTGCATGGGGGCCTTACACATACTTACAATTTTGTTCTAATGACCGAAATATTACCACTTATATATCATTTTGTGCAACACATACAATGTTCTAGAATGACGGCTTTTAAGTAAAAGCTTACCGAAGGCAAAAACATCATGTGAGTTGCACTAGGCTGCTTAAGTCTTGCCAGGAGTTCCACAGCACGTACGACCTGAACGTCTGCAACAGAAACACATAATAAAACTAAGCCATATGTCATTCGTGCTAAATTGGAAACAAATACATTGCACGTCCAAAACACGATAATAAAGGAGAGCAAGGTTTTAAAAAGCCCATGGCATGCAAGTGAAACCGACGCATTCATCATTATTGTAAGAGTGCATTTTTCAATGAATGACCTTAAAAATAAGATTTCTTTTCCTCAAACCTTCCGAAAGACGATTGCAGGCGTGGCATCCAGCTGGTGCCCCATGAGTGCAAGCGCATCCAGGGTGTGAGTGAAGGTAACTTAGACAGGCATCTAATTGCAAAACCTGCTCACATGTGCAGACATGGTGGTGACTAAGTGCCTTGCTTGCAACTATTTATGGGGAATCAGTTTCTTCGCTTTGACTAATGTACATAAGGCTGAGAAAGGTACAAAATCTTGCATCTGCTCTAAAAGATAAACAAATGTGTTGGACGAAGACAGGCACTGCTGTCCTTCAGAAATGACAATCTGTAAAACATTGAGCAAGCGTCCATTTAATATTCGGTGATTTTCTTGAAAAACGGGAGGATATGCGTTTGTTAGTACATGACATGGCGGTCTTCAACCACTTTGCAGCGACGTATTTGGAGAAGCTGATAACACAAAGGAGCGTCTCATGTACTTAGCTTCGAAACATTTCAGATGTAGCTGGTGGGCGCTTATTGTGAAATGAATGCATGCTTGGTGCTCCATGGTACGTTTAAGATTCAAGAACTTAACAAGCTGACTTTGATATTATACATTTTTGTAAGAAAAATATATCTTCCAGGTACGCTTCGTCCAAACATTTATATGCTGCATAAATTATTGTGCCCAAATATGGAATATTTTTAAATTAAGGGAACTCTTCTTTCTGTCCTCGGAGCTTTCTCTTTTTTTTTTAACTGAAGTACTTACATTTACACTTAGCTTGCACCATTCGAGAAATGCATGTGCAGCAGCACCTGTGATGTAGCTCAATGCACATTACTCGCATACTGTTACAAAACCTTGCTTGATCTTAATTCTTTTGAAGGAGCACTGAAATTAAATAGATACATAGAAACCAGAACAAGCATGTGAAATGACTATAACAGAAGAGGTACCTTCATTCCAAACTTTCTCTTCGAATAAATTTAAGCCCTGAATCCAGGAAAGCATTTCCCGTGACAGAAATATACTGCACTATTCACAAATCTTTAAGCACCTGCCTGCTCTTTGCACACAACACTCCTATTTTATGGAAATAAAAAAAAATGCTTCGCACTTCCATCTGTGTCTAAGGGAACGATTAGTCCGCAATGCACATAAAAAAGTTATATTAAATACAACCATTCGTACCGTAGCACTGTTGTTTTTTGTTTGACTATTCAGATTAAATCGATGGCACACTATTTAATTTAAACAATTAATACGTAAATTAAGCTGCATCCATTTAATTTGCACAATAATTTACACTATACAAGCTAACAGTAAAATAGGCAACATTTTAAAAGAAGTGCACAATAAAAACTGATGAGAAAAACGGTGTGTTGAAAATAGTATCCCAACAGATGGTGCGTTTTACAAAAACACACATCGATTAACCTTAATAGCAAAGATATCCAATAGAGAAGGCACATCATGTCAACACTAATCTGAATATCTGCGCATTTTTAAACATACACGGTAACATACCATCCTTCTGTTCGTATATGTTATGCTCAAAGCGGTATAGTACTGCTTTGAGCAGATCATAGCTATGCCCTTTATTCCTATACACGAATCATCACTTACGTTTCTTGCGTCTTGCACCGGTTCCTGGCGGATCAACTTCAAGTAAAGGCTTCAGGTCTTTTTTTGTAGCCCCCTTGGTCTCCTCTTAGAGCAAGTTTCACAATCTTATTAAACGCCGCCTCGACCGCTTCATTCCCATCTTTCTTCAGAAGTTGCTTGAAATCCTCAAGGAACTGAAACATTATGAGCGTTTGAATAAAACACATGCATCTGTAAGAACAGTGAAATTCTTAATGTTTTTTTTTCACCTCGTTATTAAATGTCTTTTATTAGCCCACTAACACATTTGAAGCATTCTGTTGTGTAGCACAACTACTGTAAAGTCCTTTACTTCGTGCCCTCAATTTTTTTTACAAATGTGATGACAGACATAATCATGACCGCTAACCTATGAGTATAAAAGTTGGAATTTGAAAATTAGACTGAAGACATGCATGTACCTTCAAATTACGCAAATTATTGGCTTCGTGAATATTTCGGCAATATGGAACTTGCGGACGTTAAAGGGATACTACAACGAAATTTCGGCGCTTATTTTATGGTCTATATGTGTTCATAGGAGCAGTATCACATCAAACACACCAATATCTCGTTAAAAAAGTCACGAAAAGTAATTTTAAAACGAATGAAACGATTTGCATAAAGTCCCTGGTGGATGTTGCTAACGCATCGTTTGTAATGCCCGTCCAGGAACCTTGACAGCTAGTAACGGTGAGTGTCTCGCCTCCGGCCACGACGAGAGAACAGGTGAAGGAAGAACTCACGTCTTTCCGGGAATTCCTTTTGTGTGTTCCAGATGTACCTTTTGTCCCCTACAAGATTACAGAAGATTAACCCGTCACTCAAAATTCGTACAAAAGCAGCCGCTTCAGTGGCGGGGATGACTAGGCCATCCCCTCGACGTCAGCCTCGCCGCAGCTTTAATCGTCCCAAGACGACCTACGTCACGATTCCATCAGACGTCACGTGCTCGAAGCTGAGCCTTCTCCGAGCGTTTGCTAGAGTGGGGCATTTATAACAAAAAATACAGTCACCGGGCTCAAAATACAATTGTGCAATTGTCATTTACGGATATTAAGGATCGTATTCAACCTATTTTTGAATACGACGGATATATTTCAGATTTCGTTGAAGTATTCCTTTAAAGGTTGCACTGTACTACTGAAGTAGATTGCTAATAGATATAGTGCAGCTCCGAAATGTAAAAAATGATCAACCTTGGTTCAGGCTAGTTACTTTCGGTAATATTAAAGACAGAAACGTCATAATTAAAATGGTGTTTGACTGAACAAATTATGCAAAGCATTAATTCTGAGGAGTAATTTCGTAGTATGTCAGAAACCGTTAAGCGACAGCTTGTGCCAATATTAACCTAAAAGAAATTTGCTGAAGCACTCTGTGCCCCTGATTTAAAGTTTTCACAAATGTTTTATAAACAAAGAGATAGGACACAAACTAGCTGGTGACGGTTGAACATATTTTAGGACAAAACTGAGAGACTGGGGAAAAAAGAAGGACGGCACAACACAGCCCTTGAGTATTGCCATCCTTGTTTTTTTTTTCAGTTTTGGGGTTAAATTTTAAATTATCTTATGTATGCTAAATTGTTTCAGTGAAAAAAAAATGTCTATGGTTTTCAGAGAACACGTTCGTAAAATTACAGCTTACAAAAAGAGCAGCTTTGTCTAAGCTGGTTCTTCTAAGTACAGCCCTTCTACAAATTGCATACAAAAGAAACTACTCACCCATTCAATGTCCCTGAGATAGGGATACTTGTCTATAGCTCCAGCAATTTTTAACTTGCACAAGCTTGACCCTTGCGGAATGCGACAACTCAAGCCTGCAGCACATTTGCTGTCTGTCGGGGTTCGGTTTGGTCCACTTCGTGACTAACAAGGCCTCACGCTGTGTGAGACTGTATTCGTCTTCTCCGCTGAGAGCCAAGCCTTGGGATTGCATATGGATTAAACAAGGACGATTATTGTAATTTTATTAAAAAAACACATGTGCGTTACACTGAGCTCTGAATCACCGACCAGTGTTGCGCCAACTTTGCCCCGCTATAACTCCATTGATGCGGCGTCGACTGCCGCCCTTGCTTGTTTCCCACTGCTGCCGAACTTTGATCGGTTTGCGCCCACACGGTCAGTCTCCAGCTTCCGTCTCTCATTTTTGAACTTTTGGCGGATGAGCATGACCCATGAATTCTGGAGTATTAAGATTTATTTATTTATTTATTTAAAATATCTGAAAGGCCTGTCCGGCATTAAATCATCCATACACTTTTCAATGCAATTAATACTGTTATAAAAAAAAACTCAAAAAGTGCCAAATAACAAATGATTTTTTATTCAAATTGTGAAGTTTACTTTCATCAACATTAACAATAGCCCAGTGCAGCAGCTATAGCATTTTCTTCTGAATTTTTTTTTTTTAATTCCAATAACATTTGTATATAATGAATAATAAAAATTTCGCATACAGCAATCAACACACTAAATGAATTTACAAGACTTAATGCCCGTTAGTCAGCCATTTGAGCTTTCGAACAATCCTAACAGCCACATTTACAGCAGATAGACTCGGTCCATAGCGAAACGAAAAAGAGGCAAGATCAGCTATATTCAGTGCAAAACATTGAATATAGCTGATCACTGAATATAGCTGATCCGAAAACTATTCGGTTCTTGTAACAAATGCATGCCTTTACTTGGGTTAGTGCTCTAAACTGGTCTAGATCTTCTAATTAATACTTTATACTTCATAGCAATCACAGTAGCAAAAGAAAGGCCCAGGTACTTGTTCGATTTTTTTATTTGTTTTCCAATTATGTAACATGATAAGAGCTGAAAACACGAGACTGGCGTATAATCACGACTCTGCGAAAAATTACGAAGTATGCACAGTTCGCCATACCTACTGCAGGGTAACATTTGCCCCGCACATCAAATCAAGAAACACCGTGCCGAGAAACACATATCATACCATGAAACACATGTCAAGAAACACAAAATCTTATGTTCAAAATAAAATTATAGAAATTATAGGGCTTGGAGCGAAGGGCTAATAATTGCGCTAGTCAGTAATTCATGACCTCATCGGATGAGGTCAAGAGAGGGACACAAACACTTCGCCGTGTCTCCGTCCCACTCTTGTCCTCGTTTTTGCGCCGAATTTGTTGTCAAGTAGACAATTTAAGAACTGGTGCTGAGAACATTAACTAATCGTTAAACAGCGACGACGCGAAAGCGGTACACAGATTCGGATGGATGCATAAACTTATGACGCAGAAAATAAAAAAAAGACACCTCCGCTTCAGCTTCCCACCGATGAAGCGATCATGTTTCCAGACTGTTTAGTTTCGACAGTTCGTGAGAAAAGAAGCGACGGCGTAAATGCGAAAAAGAAAACAGGAGCACTTTCGTCACTCCAAGGTAGTTTTAGCGATTATGGCTCAAAAGAGAAAACCGAAGCCAGCCAGCCGGTACATAACACTCGCTACCACCGCATTTAAGCGTTGAACAAGTCGAATACTGTGTAAGCGGTATCAATAGTCACTTACTGAACACCTGGACACATCAAGAATGTTCTACAAGCATGCTGCATAAATATTCTCACCTTTAATTGCGTCCACACGTGGAAGTGTCTCCGGTAGCAGTTCCGGCGGTTCCAGCAATAACCGAAAGCAGCCATCTTTAATGAGAACGGGGATTGGCTACGACTTACGCCTGCCCTTTCTAAAAAGATTTGCTGTAGTTTCGGTTTCGATATCTTGGGTGGGGGCTCGTTTGCATTTTTCTTAATTCGCGTTTCAACAAATTTGTTTTTAATATATTATTTTAGGTTAAAACTTAGTTAAAGTTAAAGCGAAAGCTAAAAGAAAGGAGTGTCTGTATGGCTATTCCACTTAAACTTTTAGTTTGAGAGAGGTTTTCGTTTTTTGTTTTTTTTTAAATGCTGCATTTTCATTGTTTAATTGGGGTAACACTCGTAGGCTAAACCGACGGCTTGCATTGAGGTTTTTTTTACGCTTTCGCCTGCGTTGTTTAATAACCAAGTTCATGTAAGGGATTGTACCAGTCTATATTCAATAATCCAAACGATTTTTATTTTCTGCGCTAAAAACGATTTCACAGTGTTGGCAAGTGCCTCAAATCGCTTTGTTTAGTATAAAAAAAAATCATAATAAACAGAGAACCCCAAATATTTGTGATATATCTGTTCTCTAAAATATAATAGAGAGATGCTCCGAAATATTATTTAGATCCTATTATCTCTCCGACACTTTCCGATATAAGTACACCGAAGAACGCATCACAAAGGTACACGCCTGAACATATAAGCCACGCCCTTTGTTTCAGAAGCTGTGAGTGCTTTCACAAGGTTCATGTGCACTACCCAAATAGATACATATTTGTGTTATTTTATTGAACCATATTTTTGTTTCTTTAATATATTTAATCGTATTCATTGCTTTAGTTGTGTGTTTTTTTGTTTTTTTGTTTCTTTTGCTTTTTTTTTGTCCTAAAACAGCACGCCGTAGAAAAGTTACCTCGAAATATTTGCTCCCAATCATACTGAAATGTTCGCTGTTTTTTTACGTAAATCAGATTTTAGTTAATGTTGTAATATACAAATTAGTTTTCGGAAAAAGACAATTATTTTTACAAGTTAATATTCCATTGTTCGGTTTTAGGAGTCGCGTTAAAATTTAAAATTTGTAAACATGAATCTGCATTTCTTATCAGACCAAAAAAGCGAGGCTTTTTTTTTTTATCTCAGAAACAAGGAACAGGACATTTCAGCAATGGGAATGTATACCAAATCCTATAAGCACGCATCGTAACTAAGTGAACTTGCATTACTCATTTATTTTATTTATTACTCAAGCTGTATATGTATATACACAATCCGGCGGTTCTGGCGTCACGCCGCTGCGGCGGCGCTGCTGACCACAAAGCGGATAAGCGGAAAATTTACCTTGAGCGAAGATTGTTTTTGCGAATGCGCAGTGACCTCACCTGGTGTGAGCAAACGCGGGCATGTTTGTAAAGAGGCGTGTTGGCTCACATAGTACATTTACATGTGTGTCATCCTGACTAGCTCTTATGCCCGTGAAATGCAGCATACACGTAACCTTGGCATTTCAGGTTTCGAGTATGTCTATACTTATGTCAATATTAAGTACGACCACAGCCACCTGTGAGGTTAGCTTGGGCCGAGTAGACCCGGAAGGAATGCAACCTCTCCAGTTGGCCACAAGTGCCCGCACGGAACAACAGAGCGGCGCCACCGAGTTCTTGAGACTTGGTCTCGCCGCCCTCGCCTTGTGGCGTTTCCTGCCGAACGACCGGAGCTTGGAGTCCAAAGGTATACAGCGGCGTAGCGGGACTACGGAGAGAACGCATGGGAAGGGTGAGAGCTAACCATTGAGGCCTTCGCTTTCTGGGGATGTAAGAGAAAAGAGGTACAGTCGAGTACCGAAGAGGATGCGGATGTATCGAATACGCGAAACCCCCGAAGGGAGTAATGGCAGTCAAGAACACGGAAAGGAGACCGGCTGGGGACACCTGCTGACACCTGCGAGTCAGCAGCCAACGACGGGACCACTCATCGCTTGCTCATCCTTCGAGGCAACGAATGCAATCGTGAGCGAGCACACCGACGAACATATGAATATAATATGATGCTCAAAACAGCAGCCTGGTCTGTGTGCTCCGAACTCCTAAACTCAGGGTGAACCCACAGAACCAGTTATCTGTTACACAACGCCACGATCCCACTGAGTCAATCAAGCAGAACCAAAGGTGCATCGTCATGGCACTCGTCGCCTTCGTGCATTTGCTCCTGCCGGCTAGACCAATCAAGCACAGAAAGGATCACTGTGCCTGATTGGTCTAGCCGGTGATTGCAAACTCACAAAGGCGACGAGCGCCATGACCGTACTGTTATTTATTGGCTTCATCGAATCGTAGTGTTTCAGATTAATGCCGCAGTCGGCATTAATCTGAAACTGCTCGGCATTGTTTTCAATGATCAAACTCCAAACACCCTTACACCCCTGGCGGCATCATGGGGTGTACCTTCATTACTTAATCCCTTTCTTGCAACCTCCTAACACCCTTCTTACCCCCTTTCATTATTTAAAGGTGTAAGAAGGGTGTTCCAGTAAGGTGGATACCCTTCTAACACCCTTCACGTTGAAAATCAGGGTGTTAAAAGGGTGTTTTGAGTGACACTACACCTTTAAGGGTGTAAAAAAGTTTACAGTGTAGGGGGAGAATGACTGTTTCCGGTTGCACGAACGAGGGTCCGAGAATGAGGGGAGTCCTTCCTTTCCGTCTTCTTGGACCGTTTGGTACAATGCGTGATTTGTGTGTTGAGCCAGATGCGCGTAGGAGACAAGTGATAAGCGAAGCGTGGGTTGCCTGCAATCCTCTGAGACAAACAAAACATGTCACTTGATCTCCAAACAGGAAAGCTCTACATGCTTCGTTTGTGGCAGACCATGATGTTCACAATGGTTCAGCCATGCAGTGCGATGCTTGGGGCCATTGCTTGCTCACTTAGAGTTCGAGAAAGGGGGGTGCCGTAGCACTTCCCAATTGCCCACGGGGTTATGATGTGGCTTGGAAGGAGCTCTTTTGTATTACTTCATGAAGTGAGTTGTGTTTAGTGTGACTAAATATTTCTTCATCACATGCCTCGTATGTGGTGATCTGGCAATCCCTCTAAGTGAAAAAAGTGTAAATGTGTTCAGTAAACATGATAAGCTGTAAATCACGTAATAATAATATAAGAATATGCAATACCATATATGATTTTTGGACAATTTACAAGTTCTGATATGTGTATTGGACACATTCCAATGAAATGTTCACTGGGTTTCACCCTTCGTCCGAGCGCGGCGGACGCTACCAGCCAATCCAGCGTCGAGAGAGCGTCATGTGACCTTGTACTCCACATAACCAAAACGTCGCATGACACCCTCCCGGCGCCAGATTGGCTGGTGTGGCCCAGCATCCACTGGGCCACCCCAGCAGGTGCTCATTTCATGCCAAGCACCCTTTACCAAGGGTGTTAGCAAGCACCCTTCATGAAGGGTGCTTGCCTGAACGCCATAAGGGTGTTAGCCGTGGGACAAACTGATTTACACCCTTAAGTGTGTAAGAACTTTTACTGTGTACTCAAGGCTTCTCTTTCCCATTAGTGCCAGTAAGCTTGTGTAAAGTGAAAAGTATTGTAACCGAACAGTAGAGAGTTTTAGTAGATCGCTCCCATGACTCCGATAACGATACCCGATACTCCGCTACCGCCTCCCTTGCGCATCCATAGTACCGTTATCGGGGCTATCGGAGGTATCGGACCGATCTACTAAAACTCTCTATTGTTGCACTGTCCCTTCACCTAAAGTTACTTCTTTTTATTTATTTTTTTACTGCTGCACTACCGGGGGATCTTAATGGTGGGACAACATACCATCCCTAAACCCACGACGACTGGAATGGTGGTCGCAACCAGCGTCGTAAGACTTAGTACTCAAAAAGTCCAATAAATATTGAGCAGCCTTGCATCAGCTTCGCGTGTCATTACCATGTAAAAGTTTCTGGGGTTGAGTTCTCAAACTTGACCTCCCGAAACTCTTGACAGTCTTCTGAGCAACACCCAAATTTTCTGGCGGTCTGTGATAAATTATGTATTAAGTGTATAACTACAGCCACTTTCGGCCAGTGACTGGCCGGAAGTCAATGGCTAGTGGCTGGCCAAACGTGAATGGCCAGTGGCTGGCCGAAAGTGACTGGCCTTAGGTGAATGGCAAGTCACTGGCCTAAAGTGAATGGCCAGTCACTGGCCAAATATGAATGGCCAGTCATGGCCAAAGGTGAATGGCCAGTCTCTGGCCTAAAGTGAATGGCCAGCCACTGGACAAAGGTGAATGGCCAGTCACTGGCCTAAAATGAATGGCCAGTCACTGGCCTAAAGTGAATGGCCAGCGACTGGCATAAAGTGAATGGCAAGTCACCAGACGAGGACGAAAACACTGCTATTGCCGAGCACTTTGGCCAAGCTTGGGCCATCGAAAATCTGGTTGGCCATAGTACACTTGCCAGCGATGGTCCATTCACAACGTGCTGCTTGGGAACACAACATGCAGAGCTTGCATCATGTCAATCTTCCTTACAACGAGTTTGAAAACACGCTCGTACATGGCGAAGTCATGGGCTATTTCGGACTTCACGTTCCGATCGATGATGCCCACATTAAACCAAAACGTCGTGATGGCATCCTTGTATCCCAGTTGATTCGGACACGTTTCGATAGACACTGTCGTTCCACTTTTTCGCCACGGGTCTGCGGTACGCCTGGAAGGTCAAAGTGACCTTTTCCAATTAAAAATGAATTTGAGAAAATGGATTCGATGTACTTTTATCGGTTTTTATCGGTTCAAATCGAAAATGCCGAAGCTAAAAACTGACCTTTTTCGATTAAAACCGAATTTCTGAAAATGGATTCGGCGTACTTTTATCGGTTTTTATCGGTTTAAACCGAAAACTTCGAACCCTCGTTATGAGGCATAAATTTACCGCAAAATTTAGCGGGGAAACTTAATTCATTTATAGATCTCGTTACATCACATCACCTGACATCAAATAACCCGCTATATTTAACGCGGAAATTGAATTCGTGTATTGGTCACGTGTAAACCAAAATCCCCTCTAAATTTAGCGGGAAATGCACGGACGCGCGGACGGACAAAAGTTGTGGGGGAGGGGGGTGGGTTGGGGGGGGGGGAGAGGGGGTGGAGGTGGGTAGCTTCAAAAAGCATTCCATGCTTTAAGAAAAAAAAATTGTAGTTTACGCACTTCGCCACTAGCTAAAATGAGTCGATCGCGCCTTCTCAGTACAATTGTCCTGCTGATGTAGACAGAATATAAGCGTAAATATATTCCCCAAACCAGTGACGTAGAATATTTTGCTACGCTCCGAGTCCATAGAGCGGCAGCTCAGTCTGTGCATTGGTACTGAAATGGAATATTTGCTTTTATACACTCTCACTGCGCCCGGTCCACATACTATTTGGGTAAACGAGAGACAACTTTTCAAGTAAGTTGCGGAACATAAATAAAATAATTTATTTATTTATTTATTTATTTATACATACTGCAGCCCCACTGGGGCTATGGCAGGAGTGGGAGGTAAACACAGACGGTCCGGACATCACTGTGGACCACTGTCAACGGCACACAGAAATTCATCTGGTTGTAGTGATCAATTAAAACTAATTAATTAAAACTAAACGCTAATTGACCTCCATAGAGCAGTTTCTTCATAGTAAGATTTTGAATCGTTCAGGAGAGACTTTGGCGGTAGGAAAACACATATGACAACGTCATTGTTATTTGAACCTTGAATATGGAAATAAATTACTTTTTCTCGTTGCAGCAAACTAAAGTTAGGGCAATCATATAAGATGTGTACACAATTTTGATGCCGTAGTTTTAAATCTTCAACTTATTCTTAAAGAAGCACTAATGGTTATTTCGAGATGATCCTCTCACCTCGCAGCCGAGTGGAGGTATGCCACGCATCCTATGTATACAAATCTTATGTCCTATTACGTAGTTCTAAATTCTGTCTGGGATTTCGCCGTTGAAGTTTGGTGGAGAACTTTATGATCTTCAAGTCATTTTCAAAAGATGTGGCAGACCTTAGTTAAACTGTTCGTAAACAACAGCATCATGATGGTTTTAATTATATTGCCATTCTAATAAAAACAGCGAACAGCTTGTCAAATTCGAGTTCAAATATTTGGAATTCCTTTGTACAAAAAGGCGCTTGTCCATCACTTGAGAATTGAGAAGGGTGTTCTGGGCGACTAAGTTTATATCCTAACTCGTTACGTGAACATGTGTAAGTCCCATACTGGAGGGGAAAATGCGACCCTCGCTATCATGTTTTTTTCTTCTTCAATTTGTGAGTTTATGAGCATGTTGCTCTTTCTGGTAGGCAGAATATCAAAAGGCATCTTATAATCAGTAAAATATATTTAAATTTATTGTTTTTCGAGAGTGCAAGTCACCAGTCATAATGTGGGACTTGCAATTTGTTTTAATGGCCGGATCAAAGGAAAGAAACGCACGATGATGTCGTAATATTGTTCATTGTGGCGACTTAGTAGTTTTTGGTTCTCAGTAACAAAGCATTCCTAAATTCTTGAAGAACTCAGCAATTGATTGACGCTTTCTTCGTTTACGAGAGCGGTATGAATGAAAACATCTATGCAGACTGATTCACTCAACAAATTGTTTTACAGGAACTTCCTATCAGCAAACAAAAAGAACTAAATCGTTACGACCTACAAAAGCTACGAAATAAAAAAACAATCGACGAGGAAACACCGAACGAGAAAACCATATGAAATTGCACTTCAGTAGTGCCAAAGAAGTCTGTAACGTAACTTTATAATTTTGGGGTTTAGGGGTGATGTTGGACCTGCAGTATTGACGATAATTTTTATTAGAGGTTAGACAAACAGAATACTTGCGAAAATGTAATATTCTTTTAGATATTATTTGATCTACTTCGGCGTTTTTCAGTCCGATTTAAAATTTGCGCTCAAAAAGAACACAATGAAGCTTGGAAGAGTGACGTAGTTGTTTCAGTCACGTCGTCACTTGCGTGGTCGGCGCAACCACCAAGATTGCGGTGCCGAGAATGTGACAACATGATTCAAACGTCAACGTCACTCTTAGTTCCAAGCGTTATTTTGGGCGGGGCTTGAAACGCTCTCTTAGAGCGCTATTTTTAAATCGAGCGAAAAATCGCGAAAATTGATCGATCATAGTTAGAAAAAAAATGCACCCCCTTTTTGCAAGGCACTTTAATTGGTCTCGACTGCAGTTTCAGTATGAACCCTAAGATTAATAATTAAAATGCCAGTTAATTTTTTTAGTTAATTACTCAACTCACCGTTAAGTTTATCATCTCAGGAAATCTCCGCCAGCCCAATAAGTACAATGTGAAGACACATCTTGAGTAACCCTCACCTCCTATTTTCATTTTTAGTCTGTTTGAACTAACATTTTGTTACTGCAGGGCCTGGTCGCTCACGTCCAGTCGATACAGCAGAGACCCGAATGATGACCACCAGACCATTTTCTTAGCGCCGGACGCCCTTTCGACAATAAAGTTTTGGCAAACACACACAATTAAAATCAGACACCCTGTTTATGAGCAGCACTATCATAAGGATTTCAAGAACGGTGGTACGAGAATATCATTTGTCTCTTGAACAAGTACGCCGACTAGGGCGGTTAAAAATGCATTCTTCATAACATGTTTTATTTGAACAATACAAACAAGAAGCAAGCAGTGACACACCTCATTTTGTGCTGTCGGTTGAGTGATCCACAGCAAAACCGTATAAAATATTCTAGGCGAAGAATTAAAATCCTCTGGAGACATATCAACATCATTGATTCATCCAAATTATTATCTGGAAAGAATTCGAACCTTTCCTTTTTGGCATTGTTTCTATTCTTGCCTACTCCGGCTCATCGTCCATGCATTCGTGTGCCTTCTTTCTACGCACACAACTCCGAGGATGAGGGCGGCAACTACCAGTTGTATTCCGCCATGAAGCCTATACAGACCATCGTAACTTTCACGGGAGTCTCGGAAGAACCCTGCAATGATTAAAGTATCAACACTTTTTAATCCTTTGTAAAAAAAAGTCAAAGTTAAGCAGAATGCTTCTTTGCTCAGATCTTATTATACGTTCTTATGCGCATATGTTGGTTAGCTCTGGAATTACCTTGTTTCCAAATACACCCATGTATGCGGACTAAACCGTGTATAATGTATTCTCCGCTAAAGTTAGCGTTTATTGGTTTAACTTTTTTTTTTTTAACGAACATAGTAATTAAAAGGCCGAGAATAATGCAAAAATCCACATAAGGGGAGGTGTGAAAATTCAAGGAAAAAAAGAGGAGTTAAAGTCAATATCTATTTTTCAAATTACCGCCATTCAAAACATTATGCCGTTCCACATATAGTGTCCCAAAGTGAACACAAGATTTACTTTTTGCAGGGAACGTATCATTTATTCTAATAAGGCTGTTAGTGTTGTTTTACTGCAAAGTGCGCACTGTGTTATAACTAGACTCGTTTCAAAAGTACGCTCCCTCAAGTAGCCGCTCCGAGTCTGCAATATTTAGGCATGCACCTTAAGCATATGCATTAGAGACCAGTTCGCCAGCGTTCGGCGCGAAATCGAATTCATAACTCTGTGACAGGATTGCGGCGTCAGCACTCAACGAAAGCTGTGATTCAATCACAAGGCGCAATGCTAAAATAATTTTTACAAAACCAATAAACAAAAATATTATGGCGGCCACCAGTGTTGCTTGATGAACATTTTAAAAGAAAATGTTTTTTTTTTATAACAAAATAACACAATAATAATACTTAAAAAAACACGCGAGCTGGTGATGATTCATGGTAATAAAACCCGAGACTCAGGAACACAGAAGGTTTTTGTTCGTTGTTAGAAGGTTTTTGTTGTTCGTTGTTTGAAGGTTACTGTTGTGTTCGTCCCCTTCTGTGTTCCTGAGTCTCGGGTTTTATTACCATGAATAACACAATATTGACAAATGTCTTGACGACCGTGATGTCAAAGGATATTTTCATAATAATCTCGACAATATATTTCTCCATAGTTTCATTACAATTTTAACAATGACAGGTGGAATCTCCACCTTGAGTTCCTGAATTGATTGTGGTTTATAGGCGAAGACAAAAAATTTTATAAGCCCTGAAAAAAAAAAAAAAAGAAGTCGCACGACGTAAATTGGCATGATTTCGGTGGCCAATGTTTGTGACCATCGCGTGAAGTGAGATGACCAAGAAAGGCATCTTGAAACATCAGAAAGAGTGTGACAGCGCAGTCGTTGAAACATTTGTAAAATATTGTTTTCAACACTTAACTGTAGTACGTCCACCTTGTATTGAACTACAAATATCAGCCCTTTTTCTATTGTTATGCGCTTTAATGCTGAATTAAATCTTGCGCTTTTTTTAGAACGCCCAATGTAATGCATCTAAGTAGGCCACAATGGAACGAACATAAGGGCCGCTAAAATATAAATGAGGCGTTTAATTTCCCGAAAAATAGTACAGACACTCAAAAATAAGGACCTTCCTTCAATATTTAGACTTACCTATTATCGATGGACTGCAGAAAGTAAGAGGCAGTAAGACCAACCCCGAGAGACCGTAGCATGTTGAGATCCATTGGACACCGATGTAATCCGCCATGAGGACGCTCCTCATTGAGATCACGCATCCGTAGGAGAGGTATGCGCACAAACACACAAGAATAATGTGCACATGAAGAGATGAATGCGGAAAAAGCATCATTGAACACCCCCATATAAAATGGCTTGCCATGACCAGGGTTGTGCGTCGAACGTATCTTGTGTCGGCAATCAAGGGAAGGAAGACCCGCCCTACGAGTTCACCGCACGACCCGTAAATTATGAGGGACTCTGCATCTTCTCTCGACAAGCCTTTATCCACAGCATAGTCGACTATAGTAGAGACATACGCAGCTCCTGTAAAGTCTCCCACAACTGCCAATGTAAGGACAATGTAGAGCATAGGATTGACGAATAACAATAGGACGGGTCCATGATCCTTGACTTGTTTTCGCGCAACAGTGTTTGAAAGGTCATGGAGTTCTGGAGTATTAGGCGCTGTGTTCTGAATTTCGAATGAACGCTTCTTAGTTGTATTCTTCGCGTCCTCCTCGATGCTCTTCAAGCACGTCCAGGGTGGCTCCTTGGCGAAAATACCGATTGCCGAGACATGCATAACGATGCCTCCGCAGATGAGAAGAGTGCCACGGAAGCTGTATTTCTCTTCTAAGTAAGCGAGAAGCTTGGGAAAAACCAGACCTGCGCATGATGATCCAGCGTACTTCATTCCCGATGTTAAGCCTCTGTACTTGTCAAAATACATTGTAAGGATTATACTATACGTCACTGTGATAACACCAACTCCGATACCTGAAACAAAGAAGAAAGAAGTTATTACGAACTATAAGAATTGACTACTTTACACCTTAATAACAGCCTTTAGGAAACAATACGTTTAGCGTGGGCTTCGCTGAGTTGTGTAGTCCATATGAACAGGTGTGTGCAGCGCTAAGCAATAGGCATGGAGGCGAGCCCGTGGTTTTCACAAACGCTGCCTTATGACGCGAGGGCCTGTGCTTGAGTAAAATATGACCGATGGACAGTGTGAATACAGTTTTAGACGAGGTACAGCTCACGCCATGATCTTCGGCCGCCTGAAACGTACCGATAAAGCAGAAATGGATTGTTCATATATTGTGCTTTATGTTTTCGGTCTTCAGATATGTTTGATGCCTGCCCACTTTTATGCAGACTTGTACCGTACGCATTACAAGTAATCAAATTACTTGTAATCGATTACTTTTGGGAGTAATTTTGTAATCAGTTGATTCCTTTCATTAAGCAGTAATCATAAGAGTAATCTGATTACTTTTTGAAGTAATAAAATTACTTGTAACCGTTACAATTTGTCCACGGGACACCCCCCCCCCCCCCCCGGCACACGCCTTTTTTTTAATGAATTGACAAAACTATAATTTGCTTTTTTTTTTCGAACGGAAAAAAAAAAAGATTTTTTCCGGAGCTGTAGGAAACGAGGTCAATCTCTTTCTATGCACAATTTCTGTGGAATATCCGTTTTTTTTTTCGAGCTGGGACTGGGAGTGGAAATCCCCAGGGAAGCCACAGTGCGTGACAAAGCCGATTCAGGGCGAAGTTTGAGGAAGCAGAATGTAGCTTTGTGAGTCCTTCGTTCGAACTAGCCCCCTCACGCACACACACAGAAATAAAAAAAATCCTGCTTAGGGTACCTACTCGCAGCCCGTAGGAGAACCAGAACCGAAGAATGCCTAAAGCGGATGCAAAATATGACAAAGGCAGTTGAAATATTGCCCCATTTCCCCTACGTGGTCTTTGTGACAAGCAATGTTTCGAGTTGAGAAGTGCTCGGGGCGATCTCTTCCGCTAATGGATACTACACATGAACCGTTTCAAATCCTGGAGCTGCTGCTCTTTTGTATAACATGCGAGCTCATCCACATGTGAATAATAAAATGAGCGACGCAAACTTTGAGCGACAACCCTTCCCCCCCCCCCCCCCCCCCCCACACACACACACACTGGTGAACGCCCAAATCATTAAACGTCTTCAAACGAATTTTATGCTTGTGTCCGCATTGTGAGAATGCAACGGCCCCGAAGAGGGAGCCAGTTTTTCTTCTTCAATACTTGTACAAATGTGAAATATAGGTTGGAAGTAGTTCATTGTTATGAGCTCTAAAGATGCGTCTTCACGCAATGAAGTAATCGGAAAAGTAATGATTACTTCTTTAAGTAATGTCCAATTACTTTTGCCGTCGAGTAATCAAGTAATCTAATCGAATACTTTTTAGCCAAGAGTAATAGTAATTGTAATCGATTACTTTTTTGTAGTAACGTGTACAAGACTGCTTTTATGTGAGCTCAATACAGGAACATCGATCTTTTTCTGGCTCACGCTAATTGATAGTGAAGCTTATTCATCTCTTTTCTAGGAAACGTCCTGATAATTTGTTATTACCTAGGCTGTCTAGAGGAAGGTTTTACAAGCACTCATCTATACATTGTTAGCAATGTTACGTATGATTGTTGGAAATAAATTATGTCGATGAATTTTTATATTTAGTAGAAATGAATGTTTAAAAAAGGGTTCAAACTGCTAGCTGAATGCCGCCATCGCCAGGTGTTTTTCGAGTTGGGCGCACATTATAGAAGCCGATACCCGCCATAGTCTGTTAACTAATGAACTAAAATTCGGTAATTATATTTTTTTAATTTGTGAAAACAAACATATGTTTCGAATTAAAAACGTGGAGCATCATAAAGAGCCTTATTCAGTCAACTTTAGAATAACTTCAAGAACGTGGGAAATGCGGGGGTGCTTTAAATGTACCACGCGTGAAGCAGGCGCAAAGCTAGCCCTGGGGAAACGCGGATGACATCCGTGTTTTCCCACGATAGCTCTGCGCCTGCTGAACGAGTGGTCAATTTGATGCACCCTCGCGTTTCCCACCTGCTTCAAGTTGCTCTAAAAATTAACTGATCTAGGGATGGCAAAACAGTTTCAAATTTAAATATATACTTATTTTCAATATTTAAAATGTTAATACATTTTGTTTAGTTAATTACCCGACTTATCGCGAGAATGAGTAGCGTATACATGTCCTTCTGGCCGTATGCCTCACCTGCACAAACCGCATTAGTGTATTCCTTACGGAATTTTCGCATAACATCTGTTCGCATTAAAATCAATCACCCTGTTTAGAAGGGTTGTCTGTTTCCTCATGCGGTAAACCCAGGGCATTAGTGAAAAGTTTGAGGACAAGTTCAAGAACTGCCTAAAATATGTTCAATATTACCAGGATTTTACTGATCACTTCTTCTAAAGGAGCAGACGTTCAGCTTTGTGTTTTTTAGAGCGCAGCTTTTAGTCGCCCGTTTCCGCGTATTGCGGTGTCGCCGTCGGCGTAGCCGCCCCGCTAGATATAGTGGGAGATTGAATTGGTGTTGAGGTAACGTGACGTCAGTTCAACGGTAAAATTGACGCCAAGGGACCTCAACACCAATTCAGTTTCCCAGCTAAATTTAGCGGGAAAAACGAGGTCGCATGACTTCGTGTAACGTCACCCATGAACAAATTGAGTTTCTCCTCTAGATTTAGCGAGAAAACTGACGTCACGTGACCTCAACACCAATTCAGTTTCCCCGCTAAATTTAGCAGGGGAAACAACGTCACACCACTTCGTGTCACATCACCCTTGAAAAAATTCAGTTTCACCACTCGTTTTAGCGGAAAAACTGACATCACGTGACATCAACACCAATCTCATTTGTATGGAGGAGGACAAGGGGCATACCATTCTTCTCGTACCCTCCCCTCCTCCTCCTTCTCAAGAACTGCGCTCTAATTTCGCGCTCAGTTTTGTAAACCATTTTCATAGCGCATATTAAAAAATATCGATCTCTCATGACAAATTAATTTTTTTTGGCAATTCGATATTAAGTAACCATTAACTTGACGATAAGAATGAATAGGGGTGAAAAGCGTGAACATATTTGAGAGCTATCATTTTCATGAGGGGAAAGATTAACAGTCACCGAGATTAAGGCAGGGAGTGGGTTCAGAAACGTCAGGTTTTTCTTTTATTAGAATATTTTTATTAGGGTTAGGTGTATGTTCCCATTGTGAAATAACCATATATTGTAATTTTTATGGTGTAGTATCACCTTTGCCACAAAATAAGGTTTAAAAAAAAAACTGAAATTCACGTTAAACTTCGCTCATGACCTGTTGAGCTGCCGTTAAGTCGACTTTGGCTGACATGGAACGCGGTGCTTTTAGTGGGAGCTTACGATCTGATTAATAAGTGTGACTATACAACAAAGCATTTTTTAAGTAAATGATTGAGGAACCTAAGACTGTAGGGGAGAAAGCTGGCGTAAATGGCTTTTTATATTAATGTTCCAACACTTGAAAAAATTATTTCTAGAACTTAATTCTGTTGGTATTTTTGTTGAATCGATACGTACTGACTAGTTATAACAAAAAATATAAACATGTGACACATAAACAAAATTACTTGTGTTCTCAAGTTGAAACCCTACCTCGAAAACTGTTTTGGAGGTAAATTATTATACTATTAAATTATTATACATTGGCAAAAGAAATGGTGCAGGCTTCAAAATGCATGCCATGTAAGAAAGGCCTCATTCATCTCGCCTGGATGAATACTTTCAGACGCCAGTTACCGTGCAGAAACGAGGAGAAACGCTTAAAAAATATAGTTTATGAAGGCGAAAGTCTTCTTACCATAAATGGCGCCGAGAGTTACCGTCATCCATGTGATGTTCGGCACAAATGCAGATGCCACAACTCCTGTCCATGCAAAAAGTCCTCCCAGGGAAACAATTGCGAACAGGGACATATTCCGTTGTAGCGGTGCCACCAAGCAACCTGAATACAAGTCGCCCTGATTAGGCAAGTTTTCAGTAAAGGCGGTAGATGTTGAGTTGTCTGTGAATGCTAAGGTCGCATAAGGCACACGCATCTACTCATGTGTAAAGCTGAAGGACTTACACAACTTGATCGTGCATCGTACTTAAGTTTGTTTTCCCTAAATACCGATAAACCCGAACAATTAACCCCGGAGCCCGTTTATATGAAAATCGGGGAAAAATAATGAGTCACGAATTGGAGCTGTATTTTATTGAGAAGAACGATCGCGGATAGAAAATCCTTAGCTACTGCTTTATTTTTATTGTTTTCCCCAAAACGGAGCCTCGATTCAACTCTCCGTGAGGCTTTTTGGTTTTATCAAACCACTCCGCTTATCTCACGCGTATGTTCCGTGCAAGTTGGAGATACTCATTTTCGTGTCTTGTTTTCTTTAGCATAATTATGGTCCCTCTTTTTCGGGTAAAATCCTATATTTCCCGATAATTACACCCCGGACATGCTTCATGAAAGTTTGGGGTAAAACCGATTTTCCCCCGAATTCAGAAATTGAATTTCAGTATTTTCCAAATTACTGGGCTCCGAAAATATTTTCTAGAAAACAAAGAGTTAGTAAGGACGCATACGCTAACGCCCGACCTCGGAAACAGTCCTAGATGTTTTTTTTTATTAAATGAACTGCAGTGACATAAATTGTAGGATCATTAGGCCTTATACCTTACCCGATTTGATCAAGCAACGCTCCAGTCGTTTCCAAGAAAGTCACACAATACAGCTAGTGTAATCAAACAGTTTATCAAATCACATTCTGTCGCACCAAGACCCATTCTCCTACGGTGGCGGATGCAGCTGAACAGCTCCCTTCACAAGGACTTCAAACGAGACCCTCTACTAAAGACTACCTATGGGACGAGACCCTCTCTACTCAAGACCTCCGATGAAGCCTTCCGATAAAGACCCCATGGAGATTGTGTCTCAAAGACTAACTGAAGCAAAGTCTTTCTGGATAAATGACTGATTTAGTGGTTTCCGATGACGCTCAGCACGTTGCTAATCAGAACCATCTGTCGATTTTCCTTAATTAAAAACTTAATAAACGAATTTTAATTAATTAGCCGACTGATCGTTACGATTAGCTAATGTCCCCCTGGCCGTATAACTCACCTGCACAAACTGCATACGTGTATCTTTCACGGCTTTTTATTAAACAAATCTCTAAAGCGTAAACAAAAAAGGCTCGAGGTGTGCCTAAGCACTTTTTATGAGTTGTGAATGCAAAAGCACGCGTGCCGCTCTTCGCTCCCTTCTTTCGTCTGCTGCGTGCGGCGCGCTGACCTTGGCCGTGGAGCTGCGTGTCCGCTACCTCGCGGACACGCAGCGCAATCCGGTGAGCAATCGTTGAAACTGACGCGCAGCGGCCAATCGGAGCCTCGTCGACGCGCGCCAGCCAATTGGAGCGAAGCCGAAAATACATCAGCTTTACTTCACTCCTTTGGGATCGTGGAAACTGGGTGCCGTGTCTAGACTTTTCGCGTGGTTTCATAGCTGGGAGCTGGCTTTACTTGGAAAAAGGATTTAAGGTCCCGTTTTCGCGCTTTAAACTGATGACGTCGGCTCGCTCCATGAGGCAGCCCGACTCCTTTGTCTCTGCACCCTCTCGCTCCTACCGAGAAACTTATGGCAATGTAAGACCGAGGGTGAGCTCCACGGCCCCTGTCTAGTGAGAAAACCCGCGTTGGTATGGTACCGCCAACCTCAGCAGATGTTCCCCGGTAGGCAAGTGGGCATGGCATCCTCGGCGCTGTTCACGTGGCAGGGTTCAAGGGACCCACACTACCGGAGAACGTCGGCTTCGGCACTCGAAACGAAGGAGGAGTCAACAAACATTTACTCCGGCGGGGAATGTGGGCTTCGGCACCGAGCACGTGGAGGCAAAGTTAAGGTTTTCCACAAAATCGAGCCCTCAAATGTTGCCTTTAAGCCCATTGTGAAGAACCCTTTGCTCTTCTTTTTCCCGCTTTGACAAGCGGCAAAATAAAAAAAAAAAAAAATGTTAAAAAAATATGCGTTCCAAATATGTACGTACGCTGTAATGGCGAGAGCCCGTTCTGTCAATTCAGATGCTGCCGGAAAACTAGACACGTATCGGATGGAGAAAGAGAAACTGCGCATGCACAATATTATGTAAGAAAAGGTTCGAGGCACAGCTAAGCACTTCTTAGGAGTTGTGAATGCGAAAGCATGCATGTCGTTCTTCCGCTCCCTCATTTCGTCTGCGGCGTACTGGCGTGGACGGCGGAGCGCGCCCTCTCCTCGACGCTTCGTTTTACCAGCCGCTCGCGGCGCGGACAGGCAGCGCCATTGGGTGCGGTCGTTGAAACTAGCGCCACTGTATATGGCTCCCGTAGGGAGCCAGAGTAGCCTCATTGAATGATGTTGGAGTCTGCCGACACTCCGCGCTCCCTATCGGCTCACGGCGATCACGTGGGCAAACTTTTCCGGCGCTTTTGCAAAAGGTCTTCGCGGTGTTGTTAATGTATAGGCAGTAGTTTTTTTTTTTTTTTTTTTTTTGCAGCATTTTGAGCGGCTGAAAGGGACCCAGATGCCTGGGTGCTGCGCTTTTGGGTGCGGTAACCGGCATGAGGCTGGCAAACAGCTGTTTCGTATCTTGGTTGGCGAGAGAAATCGCAAACCATGACTGACGCGGATCAGCAGAAAGGGATTCACTCCCACTTCTTGTACTCGGCTGTGCGAGGTAAGTTATATTATTGCGATGATTCATGCTAGAGTTTGAAGAACTGAATGAACACAAACTGCGATGTTCGTAGGATCATTTTGCCGAGGACCAGCTTTCTGGGCGCCGGAACGACGGCGAACGTAAGCTAGCACGAGATTCCGTGCCTTCGATCTTTGCCCACAAGCCGAAGAAGCCGCCGCTGAGAGCTCCTCTTTCACGAGGAACCGAGAAAAAGGTGTTGTATGCGTAATATTTGAAACATACGCGTTAATCGGCGGCTACTGTGCAGGCTTGCCGCTAACTGGCCGTGAAATTCTTTCGTCTGATAACTATATCATGTTTTCTACGCGCACATACAATACCACATTGCTTGTCACGCATTCACTATACGCTGGTTTTATTCCGCATCTGTGACTTCATTAGCGCATCTTAGCTTGGAGCACATGGGACGGAAGTTCGCGCTGCAGGAGCCAGAGATACCGTGCTCAATCGTGCACCTCTTCTTGTTTCGATCTTGATTATCATCGTACCGGCAGGCTTTCGTGTATCACTACTCCGTGATGCACATTACAGACCCCTGGCTAGCAGTCATCCTGCACTGTCTATATTGTTCATCGAATGCGGAGACCCTTCACATCATTTCAGTGACTGGCCAACCCTCGTGCTGTCTAAATACTGAATATGCATATTGTTAAAAATCTATGTAATTTTATTCAGTTGCTCATGGAGGCGACGGCAAGTTCCCCAGTCTGCCCGTCAGTGAACTCACAGGTAATTTATTAATTAATGGAAGTTAATTTCACTGAATAAGACTCGGTATTCGGCGATATGCTGCGAGTTGGTGGGTAATTAATAAAACTAAGGCACACATTACATATATCTTTTCAGGAGCCTATGGAACTGGTTCAAGAGATGTCGCCAAGCAGCAAGCAGCACTCAACAGCGCTAAGAAGTTTTGCACAATCTTTCCCGTCGAAATTCGGCGAGGACATGATCGTAATTAACGTTATGAGTCATGACCAATGTCGACGAAGTTACGACGTTATTTTCGCCAGCTTCTCGCTTCGGATTGCAAGTAAAATAAAATTATAGTCTACCGTAAGAACACCTTAAAATACTGGTAGCGGTAGCAAGGTGCTTTGACAATTTGTGCTATCAATGCGACCTGCATTTCAACAATGACCGAACCCGCTCGACAGCACCTAGCGATTCTATTAGAAATGAAGGGTAAAAAAACGCGCTAATAAAAAAGATCGTCGACATCCCGAATAGACCCGCCTTTGTACTGGCACGGTTTCCTTTGAAAACTGGGGAAACTTTTCGAAAAGTTGGCGGTAGAACCGCAGAACTACCGCCTACTCTCCGCGGAACCCGTTGCGTCGTCTGCTACCGTAAGGTGATTTGGGCTCAAAACAAGACTTCTTCGCCCGCTCAGACCATAGAAAGTGGTGCAAATGCTTTTGGAGTGCTTACCTACGATATTAAAAATAGTTTTCACAGGATGAAAGGCCCAGATATTACAAAAGAGCCGCTTTCTTCTATACCCGATACGTTCACCATGCAAGACTTGGATCCTTTTTGACGTGCGCCGCTAGTCGCCGAGTGGGAGTGGAGGCGCTACGGTTGGCGTTACTCTGCTCCCTACGTGAGCATATACAGTGGCGCTAGATGAAACTTACGCGCAGCGGCCAATGGGAGCCTCGTTCCTTGGAACTATGACACTCGCCAGCCAATGGGTGCCCTATACATCACATTTCGGCTTCACTGCGCTCCATTGGGAGCGGGGAAACTAGATGCCGTTTTGCTAGGCTTTTCGCGCAGTTTCAAAGCTGGGAGCCATCAGATCGTGGCTTCACTTAGAGAACGGACTTTAGGGGCCGTTTGGAGCGGCTTCAAAGCTGATGACGTCGGCTCGCTGATGGGACAGTTAATGCTTTCGCAGTAAAGCAAGGAATCATAAAGAATTTAAAAGGCCATGTGAGCTTTTACCATGTTTCAATGATATCTTGTGCGCAGTACTTAAATAAAATTAATATCTGTATTCAAACCGTTAAAATGTTAAGTATTCTTGCATATTTTGGAATATAACTAAAAACCCGAATTTTATAATAATTAATAAGAAAACTGATTTCTCCCCGATTACCATCTTGGATCAAAGCGCCCGAATTTTAAGGCCGTCGATTTTTGAAACGAAAAATATAAAACCCGAAAATGAAGGACCTTAAAACACAACCCCAATAAACGCCCATCTTTTCTTGTTTTTTTTTTTGTTTTGTTTTGCTTCGAAATTAACAAATTGTTTTTGTTTTTTTTACATAGGCCACAATAAACGCCGAGTTCTTCTGTTGTACCCTAAAAATCGATACTCAGAGACACCTAATTGAGAGAAGAAAGGGGGGGGGGGGAATAAACCGCCCACGCAAGGAAAAAAACAAACAAAGTATTCCAGGAAAATAAACCCGGAAAACACGGAACCCTAATCATACACCTATTCTAGCGTGTATTTCTGAAAACGATGTTGTGAATCACAGACGGCATAAAGTGACAAAACGAAGTTTTGAAGTATTGATTCATTCTAGAAAAAGTAAAAGTAAACATTAGAAACAGAAATAAAAAAAACAAGTTACTTGATTTATTTGTTTGCCGTTAATATCTTCGTTCGTTATAAATGAAGGTTTATGACGAGGTACTATTTTTAAATTGAATTCAGAATTAGAATATCTTAATTTTTATTTAGTAAAGTAAAAAAAAGCATAATCGCGTCACAAGCTATTGATTTACACAACTTAAAAATACTTACAAAAAGCGTATAACTGAAAGCTGTGCACTCATTCGCGCACATGCTTATCTTACGTACTATCTTAGCAGTTTTCAAAGCTAGTTAGGTGATTCTGTACCAGACAAAAGACTCAACGACGATGTGACGCTTCTGGGCCATGTAGCGGATTCCCGGTTGACGTCAAATTCCTCCATGAGACCCACGTAGAAGAAACCGGAGTTGGATATTATCACCGAGACAAAGAAGCCTGCTAGGAATCCCAGTGCGGCGACGTGCCAGCACGTGTCTACTCCCGGTCCTCTACTTTTAGTACTCTCAGGTTTCAGAGGCATACTCGGATCCAGAGCTCTGGTACGCATTGTCCTGCGAGCGTAAAAAAAGCAGAAAAAAAAGCTATAAATGCAAGTTCTATACACTCCATTGCATTGTCCGATGTTTTATATTTTGGCGTGAAAAACAAGTCAAGTATAATGCACAAAAGAGGACAGTTTTAGGCTCTGTCCTTTACGTGTGCGCGAACTTGACACATCCTCATAATCAACGTAGTCATCATCGTTATCATCAAAATTGTTTTTATATTTTAAGGCCATAAAAACATTTTTGCAATGTGGCACACCGGAACAGAGTGTGAAACCCGAAATAAACAAAAAAGTTTGACGTCTTCTTAAACTAAGCATGATTGTCATAAATATCAAAGTGTGCATTCTCAAAATTATTTACAGGTTTCTGAATTCTTGGTATCGGTGCTGAAATATATAGGTTGTGAGGCTAAAGGTAAGAGCAGTCCTATTCAATTAAGCAGGTGCGCTAATGTTCCCTCTGCACACGAGGTCGGGTTCTATAATGTAACCGTAAATTATTTTGTAAAAAAAAATAATTTATATATAGCGTGACAGCGTCTTGGTGCATAGAATTTGAATATCTAGCTGATCAACTAGGTGTGTATACTTATAAAATTGCCTTCTACCAAAATATCTCCAATAAACTATGTGCAGAAAAAGTCGTTGAATTGACTGTTTGGGCTGCATCAGGTTCACTGATCGAATTCTACACATTTGAACCAGACTCTAGTCTAAACATAATAAAATTCAGATATAAATGAAGCATGCATGCGACAAAAAATCAAAGTTCGAGGCATAGGAGTGACCCTTCCAAACATTTCTGACTATCTATCGATGGCCAGTTGAAGCTAGGTTTTTTTGGCGATGACGTCTTTTTTTAACTCGAGATCGAGGACACAACGTCCTTCTACGTCAGCGAGAATAGAAGGGCAGGCTCTATTCGCTTTATTTTCTCGTTAGAAAATTTGTTAGAAATAAAGAATTTTCTTCAGTGCAATATATTACAATAAAATAAACGAAGAGAAATTCTCAAATTACAATACCAGAAAAAAGAAGAAAACACTACTGGGTGGCTTTATTTGAAATCGAGAACGCGTGTCGGGGTGGGTACTTTGCCTCGGAAAATTATATATTTTAGTCCCATTTCTTCAATAAACAAATGAACGTTTAAGAAAAAATTCGAAAAATTACGTTTCTCCACAGAAATTTTGAAGAGAAGCAAGGTAAAATACTACATTTGCGCTGCTTGATTTTTGTACCCAGTTTTGTTGGTTGTTATATATAAGTAAAAAATGGAAATACTCACACTAATTTATCTTATAAATATATGATGCGTTACTTATTTCTTCCTTTAAGTCGGGCTAAGTTTGGCGTATCTGACGCAAGAAATGAAATAAAAATGGCAAACATCGCATCTTTGACGTTTTGTGACATATTTCAAGCGTAGTATCTTAGAATTCATCATACATTTTGCTTATTAAATACTGGTTGGTACCCATTAGTTTAATTTATTCTCACAAAATAATCTAAGTCAATTTTGAAAGTTCGCAAAAAGTAATTTAGCCATAATTTGAACCCTTTTTATTAAAATATCTAATTTTTTTAACTTTTTTATAGTTTTATATTTTTTCCAACAATGTTAACTTTCTCTGGGCATAATCAAACTTCCCCCTTTTTTTATTTTCTGTAGAAGTGCTAAAAACACAGATGCATAATCCTGAATCGGCGAGGACGGTTTCGGGCAGTTTAGAAAGTTTACTTTACGGCAAGGTTTTTAGTATTTAAACGCGAAGGGCATGGGGGTCAGAAGTGTTTTGGAGGTGAAGAGGCGACAAAAAGTTGCGGTGGGGAGGAGGGAAGGGAGAGAGTTTGTGTCATTAAGCAAAATTGTCTGCCCCTGGCCCCTCCGCTGTTGAAACGCCATAAGCATGTTTCTTTTTTGTTTCTTTTGTTTTCTTTGGAAGGGGGGGGGGGGGCAGAGGAGATTTTAGTACACTTGAGTCGGGCTAAAAAATATTTTTATTTATATCAGTTAGTATTTATATTATTGAGAAGATAAAGAACGACGATGGGGCAGTGTCGCGCGCGACCACCTCACGCCGGCCCCACGGGCCGGCTCGCCCTCTATAAATCGTTCTATCTTCTGTCTGTCATCACCTGTCCTATCTTCTATGCTGCCGAAAGCTTCACCCTAACAATATATCCATATATGTATATATAAAGGGCATGGTGGCGGAGGGCAGATGCCCTGCGTATATAACTTGGAAGGAAAGAAAACCCTTGGTGAAAACAGCAACAACGGACGGTTTACTCTTCGACGTTTCGGCCGGAGTCTGTATATACATTGGTTAATTATTTTAAAGATTTTCTGGTTAGCTACTTGCTTGACAAGTGTCACTTTAGCCTTAGGTCCCTTGAATCTCAAGGCATGTCCAGAAGAGCGATGGAACTTAGTAGTGGAATATCTGTTATTCAAACAAAAAATGGTTCAGGGGTTGTACCTCGTTATGAAATCGTGCCATTAGATTCATTTCTTTTTTCGCCCCCGGATTTGCTTCCACCACTTTCGCAGCAAAGCGTTGGAGGTGGCGATTCTCGATCCAGTGCCTGGCCGTTCCTTCGAGCGCGAAGTGAAGACTCTGAACGCGCTGTTCGTCCATCCATCCGGTGTGCTGGGCCACTCTCTCATACTGCTGTAGCCAGTCCTTGACGTCTTCTAAGGTTCACAATGCAAGGACGCGGGCGTGCAGGCAGTGACGTGTCGGACAACGACGTGTGGAGTGGTCATCGACGCGGTCTTCTTCTTTAGCCCTCGTGGCAGAAGTCCGAATCACGGGAGTTGCTCTCTGGAACTGCGGCTTGTTCGGGCTTCGCAGTCTTCGGCGAAGGGTAGCCTTCTGGGGCTGAGCACCTCTCTTGGCCGGGGAGTCTTCGATGGGTTACGCTTCGCGGGCTTAGAATGCAATACGCCGCACCTCCATCAAAATGTCACGAATCACAAATGACGAGGCGGGGAATTAACTGGAGAAAGTAAACAATTAATGTTGCGAACTTGTGCCTAAAACAGCATAGAAAAAGGCTAGCGTCGCAGGCGTCGATGGCGGCGAAACAGCAGGGTTGGACGCTGGGGCGAGACTGACTGCGGCTCGCCACGCAAAGCACCTTTTGTACCCGCGTGCGTTTCTGGAACACTAGGCGTAGAATGTTCGACGCGGAGAACTTTTGTAGCTGGATCAGACGAGAAGGTGATCGAACTTATGAGAACGCCGAGCTGAAATAATAGATAAGATTCTGCACACTGGAATCGAATCTGGATGTTCCGCGCGACAACCAAGCACGGTAACCATTCGGCAAGTAACACGCTCGCTCGGCGACGCGCGTGGAAATATGCTCAGGAACGTTAAGAAAGGAGCCTCTGGCCGCGGACTAAACACGACTGCGCGAAGTTTTTTGGCGGCATATAACACAACATTGAAGCAGCCAGAGCTGAAAAAAGTAAGACAATTCTAGAAGTCGCATTCAGTTGAAATGTTTTTTCGGAAATTTGCTACTTTGTACAAGACAATACCAAAGAGTCGAGACTTCCCAGCTTGTTGCTCCTGTTTCGCGTCTGGTAAGATGTTGCCTATTGTGCGTTAAGACTTCCTCAAGTCGTTGCTCCGTCGGAATAGATGAGAGCTTCTGATACTCATTCCCCTCAGCGCTAAGGTAAATTCCCAATTAATTTTTGAAGCATCAAGACACATGCTGCGAAAATGGTCGCAACTGCAGACCCATTCTGGTGCGTGCAATTAGTGATATTTTTACAATACTGGGTAGGTTAGTGTCTAGGAATTGACTATTGGCACTGACAACTTTACAAGGACGATCTTCCATCAGTCAATCAATGAAAGTTTATTTGGACATAAATATAAATTACAATTGTCCTCGAGGTGCGGCTAAAGGAGACGAAAGTGTCTCCTGACGAGACCATCACACTTCGATATTGCATATCAGACAGCAAAACATGTTAAAATATTTATGCCTTCATGATTCTATTCAAATACCAAACATAAACCATGCCGTGAATGTAATTAAGAATTTCAAGACGAATGTCGTAATGAGAGTATACGCGATAAGGTCTATTTGGGAGACCTACGCTGGTGTTTCCGAAAGCCAAAACGAGAATTACAAGATTTTAATGACGCCGACTAATATAATAAAGATCGACCCCCCCCCCAAAAAAAAAGGTGTGTGCTTACTTATGCTGTACAACTTTCTGTATTTGTTTTTGTACTAACTCAAACATAAACTTTCTAAGGAAGAGGTGCACTCCCTGAGCGTTTTAAAAAGCTGACCTCAACAGATCCATGTTGAGGTGTTCCACAAGGCAAAAACGTTTACTTTGATAGATCTTTTCATGTCAGCCATCATATTTAGACTAGATCAAATCTATGGATGTAAGTAATTGTTAAAACTGGACACAAGTACGTTCGAGTGCAAAAACAGGAGAAGCTAGGAACTGGAATTTGCGACAACACTAGGTCTACCGTTTGTAGACACATAATGGTTTTAACGAACAGTTAGAATTGAGTGGGTTCACTATTCAAAAAAAAAGAAAATAATAACACGACCAAATATTATATATATTATTATATAAATATTATATTATATTTATTATATCAACAACATTATGCAATGCAAAAGTGTTCCAAAGCCGGGATTCAAGATTAAGAACAAATACCTTCGACTTGCATAACAATACCAACAATTTATAAGACGTTTCGTCTCCTATGAGGGAGACATCATCAGAGCGGCCTATGCACAAAAGAAACATGTAAGTTATTTTGAGAAAATAAATTAAACGAAATTGGTAGAAGTCAATAGGAAAAGAATGGGCCTACATGTTCATTGTATGTAATAAGAAAAATATACGCTAAATCCTAAGCTATAAGGCTTCAAATAGGTTAGCAAAACGACAAAGATGCCATATTTCGCATTGTTTTTCATTTCTGGCATGAAATATGACAAAGCAGTTT